GTACGCGGGCCTCTCACTGTTGTGGCCTCTCCCATCGCGGAGCACAGGCTCCGGACGCACAGGCTCAGCGGCCATGGCTCACGGGCCTAGCCGCTCTGCGGCATGTGGGATCTTCCCGGACCGGGGCATGAACCAGCGTCCCCTACATCAGCAGTCGGACTCTCAACCACTGCACCACCAGGGAAGCCCTGTTGTTGTTTCTTAACATCTTTATTGGAGTATAATTGCTTTACGATGTTGTGTTAGTTTCTCCTGTATAACAAAGTGAATCAGCTATATGTGTACATATATCCCCATATCTCCTCCCTCTTGCGTCTCCCTCCCACCCTCCCTATCCCACCCCTCTAGGTGGTCACAAAGCACCGAGCTGATCTCCCCGTGTGATACAGCTGCTTCCCACTAGCTATCTATTTTACGTTTGGTAGTGTATATATGTAAAGGCTACTCTCTCACTTCATCCCAGCTTACCCTTCCCCCTCCCTGTGTCCTCAAGTCCATTATCTACATCTGCGTCTTTATCCCTGTCCTGCCCCTAGGTTCATTAGAACCATCTTTTTTTTTTTTTTAGATTCCATGTATATATATATGTGTTAGCATATGGTATTTGTCTTTCTCTTTCTGACTTACTTCACTCTGTATGACAGACTCTAGGTACATCCACCTCACTACAAATAATTCAATTTCATTTCTTTTTATGGCTGAGTAATATTCCAGTGTATATATGTGCCACATCTTCTTTATCCATTCATCTGTCGGTGGATACTTAGGTTGCTTCCATGTCCTGGCTATTGTAAATAGTGCTGCATTGTGGTACATGACTCTTTTTGAATTATGGTTTGAAGAAAGGGATTTTAAACAGTGTACCAGTCTATAGCAATAGAAACCAGCTTTAGTTAATTCTAGAGGCAAGAGGAGTTTTTGTTAGGAAATGCAGATGGCCTTACACAAATGAGAAGATGACAAACCTCCCTCATAATAAGATAAATGACATTTAAGACTACATTAAGATATCATTTTTTACCTATCAGAACGGCAAAAGTCCAAAATTGGACAACGTACTCTGTTGGCAAGGCTGGTAGGGGTGCAAAATGATAAACCTCTATGGAGGGCAATTTGGCAATATTTATCAAAATTACAAATGCTCTTGTACTTTGAGCCAGCAATCCTGTTTCTGGGAATTTCTTCTAAAGGCATATCTACATACATAAGAAATGACATATGCAGTACTGTTTACAATAGCAAAAAATTGGCAGTAAGCCAAATAAACATCAATAGATACTGGTTAAAACAAACAGGGGTACATTCACACAGTGGAAGTTTGTGCCACTGTACAAAAGAATGGGAGGACACTGTGTACTCACGTGGATATTTTGGTAAGCAAAAAAAAGTAAGGTGCAAAGGAATGCACATAGACGCACATGGTGTGTGGACAGTATTCTACCATCTGTGTAAGAAAAGGAAGTGATAAAAATATTTGTGTTCATTATGTCTGCAAAAAGAAAATCTGGGAGGATACATAAACTTTAAGAGTGGTTACCTAAAGGTTTGAGGGCCAGTGGGGTGCAAAGGGAAAGGGAAACTTCTTTGCATCCCTTGTTGTTTTGCTTTGAATTTGGAACATTAAATAAAAATATTATTTATAATGCTATACTTTCCCAGCTTCATGAAATAAACCACACACAGTCCATTCTGAGATGGCAGCAGTGGTGGCCACAATGACATCCAGTTTCCAGAGGCCCGGAGGCTGTGGTTCCAGTGGCAGCCTCCTGGGTCCACTGTTCAGTGTCAGTGTCAGGGATGTAGACAGTACATGCCATGGTCTATGCCACGGTCTATTTCCAGCACTGGTGTCTTCACTGAGCCACACAAATGGATGCCCTGTGCCAAGATATTGCTCCCCTTTAATAGTACAGATGATACTGGGATGGAGCCCCCAAGCTGGTTGTCCATAGCAACCGACAGCCTCAACTATTTGTTCTGCTGTGTACTATGCATAGTATATTTTTCACTTATGCTTTCTTTTGAAAAAATTAGGGAAGCAACTGATTAGAGAACAAGATTTAGAAGAAAAGACTATCCCCCCACCCCTCAGCTTGCCTCCAGTGAGGATAATAAGTCACAAGGATCAAAGGCACTCAGATTTGTTAAATAAAAGACATTCGTTTGTTCTGTTGTGCTTAGAGTGGATTTGCTGCTGTTGACGTTCAAGTACTCAATGCTCTGCACTGGCGGCTGGTTTCCAAGGAAGAGAAGGCTTCATTAAAGCTGCTTTCCATCAAAGCATTAGAGTGCTTACTATTAGGGAATTAGAGGATTCACAATTAGTGAAAGTCTCCGCCAGATGTACAGGGGAACTTTGGGAAGGGTGATATTTACTTCTATATTCTCTCACTTAAAGGGCATTCAGGAAAAATATGTTTTGAAGCAGGGGAAGGGGGAAAGCCAGGGAGAGGGATAACGTGCCTCAGAGTGCCCTAGCTCAAGTGTTCTTTAAGTCCCTTGATGTTGTCCATATAGGTCAGCCTCCTGGGGTACCAAGTGGGATAGAGATGTGTGGGTATTTGATCTGGAGGGGCAAGTGGAAAATACCCAGTACAACCCCTAAAATTACAGGACAGTGTTAGTCGCACACAGTTGTGTTGGCTTATTGAGTGAGGAATGCTATCATTAACAAAATCTTCATTTGACAATTTTGACTGTTATTCTCTGCTCTCTCACCAGTAGTGTCAAAGGATAGAGAAAGAGCAGGAAGTGGAGTCCTCTGTCCTGACTCCAAGCCCATTTTCATGTTCCTGATAAATCTTTTCTGGATTTCACTCATCTCTCCATCCATCCATCCATCCATCCATCTTTCCAAACATTCATATGACAAGCATACTTTTCAAATTAGTTTGTACTAGGTTCTATGCTAAGAACTGAGAGTAAAGAGAGGAATATCTTTACTTTCGTGAATCTCACAGTCTTACAGGAAGACAGATATGCAAATAAACTAATACAATGTGATAAGTGTTAATTACAGCCGTGTATAAAAATCATGGAGAGAGGGAAGCCTAAACCTTCATGGTGTAAGTAAGGTAAAGGTGGAACTTAGACTTACACTAGAGTAGAAGTTCCCATATGGTTCCTTTTAATGAAATAGAAAAAGGCGCTCTGACAGAAAAGTAGACAAAGGTGCCCCGTCCGGCTGGATACAGTCTTGAGCTAGACACGTGATGGGTGAGTGGCACTTAGGCCAGATTTCACCTTGCTGCCTAGGAGCCTTTGTGCATCTCGCAGACTGTCTAGCCTTATGGGGCAGCCCTGTCCCTCAGATGTGATTTTCCAAAGGCTACTACATCAGGGTCAGAGCTTCTCTTTCATCGGGACCTACCCAGAGAAGGGAAGGGGTGTCTGGATAGGGGTGATGTAATTGTTATCAGCTCAACTTCCCCCCCACCTTGCTTAAGAAGAAAAATTTTAACCAAACCAGGATTCAAAACATTTTTGGAGCCAGGCAGCACCGATCAGAGCTTTATTGTCCTTACTGCTTCGCGGGTGTGCCCGCAGACTATAAATAGCTGAACTCACTCTCTTTTCCTTGTCTTCCCACTACTGATAATACAGTCAAGTACATTTGCAAATTTTCTATATAGTAACTATATGAGTGAATTCACATCTCAGTATTTCTGGTGTTTCTTCTCATTTGCTCTTTGAAGATTTGGAGTAATAGCTTCTCTAGCATGAAGCAAATTTGTGGTCTTCATTGTCAGTAAACCACCAAAAGGATATAGTCTAAGGGAACTTATTGACAGGGCCTTGTTGGAAATTTGTGCTATAGATTTAAAAAGAATCCCAGGGGCTTCCCTGGTGGCGCAGTTGTCAAGAATCCGCCTGCCAATGCAGGGGACACGGGTTCAATCCCTGGTCCAGGAAGATCGCACGTGCCGCAGAGCAACTAAACCCGTGCACCGCAACTACTGAACCTGCGCTCTAGAGCCCGTGAGCCACAACTACAGAGCCCACACACCACAACTACTGAAGCCCGTGCGCCTAGAGCCCGTGCTCTGCAACAAGAGAAGCCACTGCAGTGAGAAGCCCGTGCACTGCAACGAAGAGTAGCCCCCGCTTGCCACAACTAGAGAAAGCCCACGCGGTAATGAGGACCCAATGAAGCCAAAAATAAATTAATTAAAAAAAAAAAAAAGAATCCCAAATCCAAAAGCAACCCCTGCAGCTGTTTTTGAGTGACTGCAGTGAGATGCAGTTTTCCATTATTTTATTTTTCAGGACGTTGGTGTTTGAATATTTGAGAAGCGCTCAGCTTACATAAATTAATAGTACCCTTTGTGGTGGACTGGCCAGGGAACCAAAGCACCGTTTGGAATTGTTTGAGTCATTCTTACACCTTTCACCCTCCTTGCAGCAGTGAGAAACTGGGATCTGTTTTTAAAACTTATTTTTTGGCATTATTAAATACATTTCTGATATGTTTTAATTCAGACACCTGGCTTCACTCTACACAATACCAATAATCATTGTTTAAAATGTTTATTTCTATCTCATTTTTCTCCTCAAGAGCTCGAAGGAATCCAATTCAGTTTTCCAGCCTAAAGAATAGGAATGGGCCGGCAAAGTGAGAACTGCAGGAAAGTGGGAGGGGCAGGGAGGCCAAGGGGCCAGAGATGTGAAGATTGTTACTATGGGCTGCAGTGACAACCAACAGCTTCCTCATATGGGCAAGTCACACAGACTCTTGAGACTTAGCTCTCTGTAAAATTTCCCAAATTATGCTAGAATTCATTGCTTTCTCACCATCACTGGCTTGATGCCAGTGTCATGCACGCTAAAGAAATATGTTTGGGGAAAGCAAGACAATAGTCAGCAAACAAATGGATTCAAAGCTGGAACAAGAAGATTCTTATTTTAGAAGGTATAATTTCATACGGCAGCCCTGGTGTGATCGGTGTTCTTTCATAAATTTTGATGATCTATTAAATCAATGCTTCTTGCTTTTTCCTTAGGGAGAAGTTCCCTCCATGCTTTCCAACTCTCTCCACCTGTACAAGGCACAGGTTGGTCATTTACTGGTCAATTTGCTCATTAATAACAAACACCCCACGTGAGAAGTTCCCATGGACTAAATTAATTGGATAACTGCAAAGGCTCCACTTGTCTTGGGACTGTGAGAAGACGTCTCATTACTGGTGAGTGGTTAGCCGTCTTCAGCACCATGATCTTCACGTTGCCTTCGCTGTCTGCTTTTCAGCTCACCACAGCCTTGCATAGATGCCTGTTAACCTATCATAAATGAGCACAATTTGAGAAAAGTTAGTTGGAAAAGGAGAGTAAGTTTTTTCTTCCCAAATACGTAATTTCTGATTCGGGTGGCAGTTGGCATGCTTTAAAAAAAATTAATTTATTCCACAAATATTTATTGAGCCCTACTATGTGCAAGGCACAAGAGGATGCAGCAGTGAAGTCTCAGACAAGCGCTCAGTTCTCATAAATCTCGTAATCTGGAGGAAGGAGACAGACAATAAACAATTATTAAAATAATGCCATTCTAGATAGTGATAAATACCATAAAAAATGAAATAGGGATGTGCTGGTGGGATGCTTCTTTAGGTTGGGTGGTTAGGGAAAGGCTCTTTGAGGAGGTGAATTTTGCTCTCTTAAGCTGTGATTTATTCGATGCTTTCTATGCTAAGCCTGGCCTAAGCATTTTATTTATATTAATTCATTCAATCCACACAGTAACCCTATGAAAAAGTACGATTGTCTCCTCTCTACAAACAGGAAACTGAAAGATGGAGCCATTTGGATACTGGCCCAGGACCACCCAAATGGTAAATAGTAGAGCCAAATTTGAACCCAGAGAGTTTAGCTCCAGAATCTGTCCCTTTAATTACTATAGATGCTGTCTGTCTGCCCTAAGTTGAAACCCCAAGGGCCCAAAGAAACCAGCCATGTATAAAGTTGGGGGCAGCTGTGCTAGGTAGGCTGAAGGAAGAGCAAGTACAAAGTTCTTGAGCAGAAAGAAGGTTGTGGTCTGAGGCGCAGGCCAGAGACCACTGTAGTTGGAGGAGACTGAACAAGGAAAGAGGGGGAGGGTGACGGGCTCAGCAGAAAGCAGACCTTATAAGAAGGCTTTATAAGGCCTTGTGGTCCTTAGCAAGGAGTTAGGTTTAATTCTAAGGGAAGCCATTGAAGGGTTATAAGAAGGGAAGCAGTTCTGCCTTTAGACCAAATAAGAGGGGTTCCTGTCCTGGACTCCACACTTTAATGGGCACCACGTATGACACACATACACACACACACATATGCGCAGGCACACACAAGAAACAGATTCTTCAAGTTCCGGGTATTGCTTTATGGTGAAAATAGTGATATAAGTGGTGACCATTTATACAAAACAATTAAAATGTTTTGTAATCTCTATGCAATAATAATAATTATGATGTGCAACCCCAGTAAGATATTTGAACATGATATGTAAAATTTGAAGTTTATTTTTGATTCTAAATTATGGTTTAAGAATTTTGACAATTCTGGTTGCTTTCTGGGGACAGTTTCTCTGAGTTGAAATTAATTTTAAAAAGCTAAGAACTATGTCATAACTAGAGAAAGGGGATCTAATTTGACATTACTGTCAAGAGAACACAAATTATGTGAGAATCTTGATTGTAATATAATTATTGATTTTACTGGAATGAAGCCAAGAAAAATAAATTTTACTCTGGAAATAGATAATTTGTGAGCTATATACATTTTTACTGATGCAGACATTGCTGGCACGTCAACAGAGTACTCAGATGTATGTAATAATAATTAAATTCAGATGTTTTAGATATATTGCTAGCTTTTGATCTCATAATAAAGTACACATATCTTTTGATTTTAGGATTTTTTAATGACGTATAGTTGATTTACAATGCTGTGTTAGTTTCAGGTGTACAGCAAAGTGATTCAGTTATATATATGTATTTTTTCAGATCCTTTTTCATTGTAGCTTATTACAAGATATTGTATATATAGTTCCCTGTGCTATAAAGTTAATCCTTATTGTTTACTTATTTTATGTATAGTAGTGTGTATCTGTTAAACCCATACTCCTAATTTATCCTCCTGCCTTTCTCCTTGGGTAACCTAAGTTTGTTTTCTATGTCTGTGAGTCTGTTTCTGTTTTTTAAATGAATTCATTTGTATTGTTTTTTTAGATTCCACACATAAGTCATATTATACAATATTTGTCTTTCTCTTTCTGACTTACTTCACTTGGTATGATATTCTCTAAGTCTACCCATGTTGCTGCAAATGGCAATACTGTACTCTTTTTCATGACTGAGTAATATCCTTTATCCATCTTCTTTATCCATCCATCTGTTGATGGACATTTAGGTTGTTTCCATGTCTTGGCTATTGTGAATAGTGCTGCTATGAACATAGGGGTGCATGTATTTTTTTTTTAATTTTTAAAATTTTGGGGGGCAGTGGGTCTTCGTTGCTGTGCACAGGCTTTCTCTTGTTGTGGCGAGTGGGGGCTACTCTTTGTTGCAGTGCGTGGGCTTCTCACTGCGGTGGCTTCTCTTGTTGCGGAGCACAGGCTCTAGGCACGTGGGCTTCAGTAGTTGTGGCTCACGGGCTCTAGAGCGCAGGCTCAGTAGTTGTGGTACACAGGCTTAGTTGCTTCGTGGCATGTGGGATCTTCCTGGACCAGGGCTCAAACCTGTGTCCCCTGCATTGGCAGGCAGATTCTTAACACTGTGCCACCAGGGAAGCCCCATATCTTTTTGAATTATAGTTTTGTCTGGATATATGCCCAGGAGTGGGATGGCTGAATCATGTGGTAGTTCTATTTTTAGTTTTTTAAGGAACCTCCATACTCTTCTCCATAGCTGTTGCAACAACTTACATTCCCACCAACAGTGTAGGTGGGTTCCCTTTTCTCCACACCCTCTCCAGCATTTATTTGTAGACTTTTTGATGATAGCCATTCTGACTGGTGTGAGGTACACCTCATTTTAGTTTTGATTGGCATTTCTCTAATAATTAGCAATGTTGAGCATTTGTGAAAGTAGGAGGATGGAATAAATTTTATTTAACAAGTTAGTAGCTTGATCTATCAATTTAAGCATTTAAATAAACAGTATGTGGCTTCCATTTGTCCCTCTGCCCAGGCCTTGCAAATGTAAGGAGTAGTCCTTTAGGGGTGTGACATCATCTGATTCATGTTTTTAAAGGATGAGAAAAAGCAGCAAATCTATACTCATTTCTAAAACTGATTTATGTTTTAAAAAATATTTTAAAAAACCAATGAAGCTATATTCCTTTCTGAAACACAAAAGTTTTAAAAAAGGATTTTTCATTCATTGATTTTTTTCTTAAATGTTTAGCTTACAGGAAAGTTAGATATTTTAGTATGGGAAAGAAGACACAATTTTCTTGGATTAATCTTTGTCCCACAGCATGTCAGTTATGGATTCTTGGATGCTGAAAAGTCCATATCAACCCTCTTATGTTTCCTACAGCAGTGGTTCTCTGTGCTGCACATTGGAAATACTGTACTTGTAGAGTTTTTAAAGCATCCATTTGCCTGGGCCCCCATGGTGGAGATATGCATTAATTGGCATGGGTGGGGCTCTTTAGCCTATAAGAGCTCTTGGTGACTCTACTGAGAGGTCAAGGTTGAGAACTCTTGTTTCAGAGGCTCTTTGCTGTCTTCTACTTTATTTAGTAAGTTTAGTGATTCCCCCCACCTTTTCTTTTATAGGCTTTCCTGGTAGGTACCATCTCTTTATTTCCCTGGAAATTTTCCTCCTTTAACTGGTTACAAAGAAAATAATTATCACTTTATCAGACTGTGATTGCCTGGAAAAATAAAGCCACATGTGGGTTAAAAATATAGTTGACTTAATTGGGAGGCAACCTCAGTGGGATTTGAGCCCGTTAACCTTTTGTACCAGCTTCAGGGAGATGGCATATGATATGACTTAAAACATTGTTGGACAGTATAAATATAGTGTATGTATATAAATCCACAAATCTGATTTACATTACTCATGAGAGGCTGTTCACAGAACAGCCTAAAATGTGGCTATCCATGCCAAGGTTTCTCTGAATATATTTCATGTTGGACTCAGGACCAAGTTCATTCCTGAGCCTTATAGCAGACTGAGTGATGATGCTATAATGAAGGACAGAGCACCTGAGCCCATAAAGAAGGTGCAACATAATGGATATGGGGCAGGTTGGGAAGGACTTTCATGAGACAGAATCATAAAACTGCTTGTGAAAGGTCTTTATTAAAAAATATGACTGTTGTTAGCATGGTCGTTGAACAGATTTCAGGCTGAGCAGTGGCCTTTATGAGCTGAGGCAGTAAATTCACTTTATTAACATAAACAAGTCTGAAAGGACAGAGTCAAGGAAACTTCAGAATACAAGAGGTCCTCTGGGTGAAGGGTTCTCCCCTGGACCCCAGATCATTATTTCTGGAGTTATGCTGACTTTTTGTTTATAGACCCTTCCTAGCAATTTACATTCTCCTTTTTAATATTTTTTTTCATTTCATTGAACCCTTTCATTGTGTGTTGGCTCTTCATATATGTTCATTTTCTTCTTCCTTTCCATCCCTACCACCACTACTGCAGTCCAAGCTACCAGCCCCTCCTGCCTGAATTGCTGTAACAGCCTCCAACTGCTCTCCCTGACTCCTGTCTTTGACCCCATTAGTCCATTCTCTACATTCCACCTTCCTGATCCTCCTAAAGTCTAAATCTATTAGGTAACTCCTCTGCTTAAAAGCTCAGTTATTCCTCACTACTCTTAGGATAAAATTTAAATCCCCAAGAGAGTTTACAAACCACTTCATACCCATCTTCACCTGCCTCTGCCACTTCCTCTTCTCTCACCTGATCCCTACCCTCCACCCTCTCCCTACCAGTTAAGGGTGATCCACCAACATCCTGCATCAGAATTAACTTAAGATGCTTGCTAAGAAAACCAAATCTCTGCATTCCAACTAGTACTGATTGGACCAGAACCCCAGGGAGTTCCCAAGGGGAGTCTTCTAAGTGCCATTTAGAGAACGATTTGCTACGTCATTGAAATTGATGAAAGAGATAAAATGCAAGGCACCTGGATTGCAGTGGTTGAACTTGGCTTCATTACCCAGAGCATCCATCAGAGGATGATTTCAAAGGTCAAAGTGGTCTGGTTGGACAGAGATATTGCTGGTTCTCTGTAGTTATTTATCTGATATTACCACAGTTAGAAATCTGAGAATCCTTTGAATACCCTTGAAAGTCTCCTTTTAAAATACAAGCAGTCAGTCCCTGCAATGAACCACAACTGCCCCCTGCTTCTGCGGGAGACCCTCCAACATTAGCAGGGACTGTGAGAATTCACACAAGAGGAAATACAATGAAAGAGAGCTGAAATGACCAGATGTCTTCATGGAAGATTTGGACTAAGTTGTTTTACCGAAAAACACTTAGAAAAGAGTCGTGTGGCTGACAATGTCTTGGTGCTCCAGGTGGGTGTCAGGCCTGACTGAGCCTCTAAGGTGGGAGAGCCCAGTTCAGGACATTGGACCATCAGAGGCATCCCAGCCCCACGTAATATCAATCGGCAAGAGCTCTCCGAGAGCTCTCCATCTCAACACTAAGACCCAGCTCCACTCAATGACCAGCAAGCTACAGTGCTGGGCCTCCATGCCAAACAACTAGCAAGACAGGAACACAACCCCACCCATTAGCAGAGAGGCTGCCTAAAATCATAATAGGTTCACAGACACCCCAAAACACACCATGGGATATGGTCCTGCCCACCAGAAAGACAAGATCCA